CAGCTGCACCCCCCCAGGAGGCCCGTCGCGCGGCAAGAAGGCAAAGTCAGCGGACGAGTCGCGCGCACACTATATGGATTTCGCGTCAAGTTAAATAGAGTGTCCCATTGCACGTCCCACATCGCACACCACGCGCTGCAGCTCGTCCGCCGACTCTGCCGTTCTCGCGCGAGCCTCCTGGGGGACCCCTGGACCAGCTGCACCATTTTCTCATTACTCTCCTTACTCGTACCCGCACCAAGTTCAAGTAGTCCACACTCGGGAGACCCAGACGCCTCTTCCAACAATTCAGCATACTGGCGCCAGCCCAGAAAGCCAAAGCTGGTTTGAGCTTACCTCAAGCACGTGTCCTCTGATACTATCGCGACTGCGAAGATCCAATATCTCTTGCATTTCTAAGTGCCCATGATCAAACGTAGTATGTCAATGTGAATAATTTACATCCTCTTCTTGCAAGCCGCAGTCTCAAGCACATATGAACGTTCTGCCACTTTGTTTTAGCGTTGCGATTATTCCAGGGATTGATTCTAGAAACTGTACCTTACACCGAGGTGCCACTTCACGCGGGTCACCAGTCGGACTTGAGCTAAGCCCTTGATTATCCTTGTGAAATTAATCACCGGTATAGGCGTGCGTTTCTATATGACTGAGACAATTGCTTTTGTAGATGTGAGGTTGTAACTTAGCAGGGGGGCACGCGGGCGGCGCGGCAGTCTGCTCGTCCTGGCATGTTCGGAAATCCGTGGGCCAGGGGGAGTGTAGCCAGCCTAGCCTAGGGGTTGGGGGTGGGGGCAGTCACTTGACATGCGTGAAAAGCTGGAATGTTCGAGTTTACACTGTCTCGCTCGAGAGAGCCCAGGTGAGCAGACTGCCGCGCCGCCGCGTGGCCCCCCCAACTAAGTTAGCACCGGGTCGTTGACTTCGCCTATTTGCAACGCGTGATAAACAAAATATTTATGGAATTGCATGAGAATGTATGCATAGAAAATGAAAATACATAAACACAAAATGACCCAAAGAAATTCACCAAACACTTGTTTTTATTACTTACGCGATGTTATCGTATAAGAACTTTCGATTTCGCAAAATTGACTGGCGCAAAACGTAACCTCCTTTTCAAAAAGCGAGAAAGTGTCGGTGCAGACCAAACACCACAACTGACGACGGCCTCCAAGTAAATCTGGTTAGAAGTTGTTCATAGTGATAGCTGATTTCTGGTAAATGATAGTTGTAATTAGTGACAACTGATAGAATACAACTGCAACAGGCTAATCATTTCATTGGCAGAAAACATTAACATTTTGTGAAGGCCGTCGTCACTTGTGGTGCATGGTCTGCACCCGACACTTTCTCGCTTTTTGAAGGGAGGGTACGCTCTCCGTAGAGTAAGAAATTGCTTCGGCAAAAGATGAGTTTGGATGCGCAAAATGGAGGAAGAGAGGAGGTTTCACAGTTCCATCATGCATTCTGAGGGTTGCATGATATCGTCGGTGTGGTGTTTGCTGATGGCGGTGGTGCAATCGTCATAGTCTTGCTGCGAGGAAGAAACGTCTTTATCATCCAAACTCTATATGGGCCGATGAAATACAGAGATGTAAGAGGTGTTAACACCGGAGCCACTGCCAGCAATATGATGGGTAAGATGTTCAAGGATTGGATGATGATAGATGTTCAACTGTCCCGTCGCAGACGTGATTGCTGCAAATAAGAAGAAAATTGGCAGACAAGCCTGTACGATGAGCGCCTGAAATTTCTGAATTTTTTTTCCGAATTGTATTCCATCAAAACTTCAATCGCAGTTTTTAATGTCGTAATGAGTTTACGATCTAATAGAGCTCTGGCATGAATTATATCACGGCTACGTATTTGTGTCGAAGTCAAGGCATTATTCGTTGTCCAGAAAGGCGAGTAGGTTTTTGATCTCAAAAACCCAAGAACCCTGGCGTTTGAAGCAATGCAGGAATAGCTAAAATGAACTCCGCATTGGGCTTGATCGAGTTTCTGATCGAGGCTTATTTGGTGCATAAAAAGGGAGAAGCAGGTGGGTGTTCCTAGGTAAAACAATAATAGACTTTCTTGATAAGCAGAAGCAAATGGTTGTTAAATTTTTTCATAGTATCAAAGTGTGTACGTCCACTATCGTTGGGGCGATCAAGGAAGCTTACGAGGCATCGTGCTCGCTTTGCAGAATTTCCGATAACATTCAGAATAACTATTGAGAAGTTTCTTTTCAATTCCGATGTGTTGTTGAATTTCCCAGGCAGAAACATGCAATCCGAATTTGAAAAATTTCAAAGATTTTATCCAAAGTCGAGAACTTGAAGTGTCGCTTTTTGGCTCCCTCTATGTATATCACTGCTTAACAAAACAAATGAATTTCTTCAATTATGAAAAATTGCAGATCTGAGAAACTCACAACTTAATCACCTGTATCACCTGTCGTCCCGTTGATCGTCGATTTGCTCGAGCGGGCGCCAGCAACGTCTCCATTCGTCCCTGTCGCGTGCTAGAGTTGGTCCAGTGGACCCTCCTCGCTCGAGGGACACGAAGTCCTTCATTCCTTTCGTTCAGAGCTTTCGTGAAGAAGTCTGACCATCGGGCCGGCGGTCGTCCAGGTGTTCGTTTGACGTCCCGAGGGATCCAGTCGGTAACCGCTCTGGTCCAACGGTCATCGCAAAATCGCATGACGTGTCCGGCCCACCTTATCTTCGATTCCTTGGCGAAAACGGCAGCGTCCCTGATCTTCGATCGTTGGCGTAGTTCGGCACTCCGGATTCCCCTCTGCACTTGCGTGTATAGGGTTACTCCTAGCATCGTCCTCTCGACAGCGCGTTGGATAACGCTGACCGCATGCTCGTCCTGCCTGCGCAGAGTCCAAGTCTCTGAGGCGTAGGTTAGGGCAGGAAGGACAGCGGAATCGAAGAGGTGGGCAGAAGAAGTTGCTCAGTACAAGCAACTGTCAAGAGCCGATTAGGGTAGTTTTATTTTCCGTTTTACAAATGGTGGTCAAAAAAACGAACACCTCACTCCACATTTCAGACAGCATTAATCACACTCAGCTAAATCAAAACCCGTGCTCCCAACACAATATCAAAGAGCATATCCCAATCCAAATAACTGTTATAATAGCTCTCTGCACCAAGAAAAGCACATAATTTGCAATGGAATCCCTGTAATACGGTCTCGAGCTCGACTGCCTCTCGGGCTGACAATAGCGACGTTGCGTGAAACGCTAGGGAGTTGTCTGCTGTTCCTAGGAAGCAATATTCCAGTGAACCAATTAAACAAATTCCGGCAGCTTCAGATGAAGCAATTACGGCAGGCATTCTTGAGCTCAGCAGAGATGGAAAGTAATATCGTATTCTGGAGATTTTCACGAAGGGGAGGATAGTTTTTGCTTATGGGAGGACATCTGTGGGATATTTCGCTGTAAGAGTTTCATCAACAGCATCACTCTGAACGACGAAAAGTCTGTTGTGTGTCATGAGTGATGTCTTTTTCGGGTAACCCCTGTACTACGACTTCCCTATCGGTCTGTCCTATCGTTTGTTAACTTTTGAAAGTTTTTACGACCTCACCTTCGCTCGCCAGCTAGTCTGGTTCATTGGTGATACGCGAGCCCACTTTTTCCCTAAGCTTCCCTACCTCCACCGTCTCCCTTTCCATAAAACCCGCGCATCTCTTTCCTCAAAATGCGTCGAGCCGGTCGAGCGGAAGTAATATACGCCCGCTACCCACGAAAATCTTAGTTTCACCTCAATCCCACACGTGATTTCGAGCGACTAAAGTGGGTACGACCCCCCCTCCTACAAACTCAACCAGGTACGACCCCCCCGTTGTTACTCGTAACAACGTAGGGTTGACCCTGCCCCAGTTCACAGAAATCAAATTTGAAGGCAATGTTACTAGGGGTAGGCTGATCAGCATGATCGTGATTCGGGTGAGCTCTAATCAGAATATCATCTTTTAAGAGCATTCCAATCATTCGCCCAGTACATGAAAAAACGTTATCGCAATTTATCTGCCGAGGCAGTGTTCTCAATATACCGCAACAGTAATTTTGCATGTATAGGAAAATGCACCTGGAGCAACTGCGACTGAAGGCGACGTGAGCTTTTCGAGATTGTTTCTTCATTCTTGTCAATTTTGCGGCAGTTAATCTTCTAAGTACAAGGATGGCCACATAGACTGGAGTGATGGCAGCGTCAAGGAAGAGAAGGGGAACACATTCAATTTAAAATATCTATGGCCGTAACGCATCGAGCTCATGTCGTAACGAAATATCGTCTCACAGCTCTCTTTTAGCTCAGCTTCGTCATCGTTCGTAAACGAGTAGACTATCTGAAATGCAACCGGATTTCGGAATTCCTCTGAAAAACTACAGAGAATAAAGAAGGACGCCGCAATCTCATCATGCTCGGAAGTAGCCCGCCCTTCTTTACGTGTAATCCATGCATTGAGAGATCTTGAAATTTGAAATTTCACAAACTAGTATCAGGAATTTGCCACAGACGTCTTCACTCATCTCCGCAAGTTAGACAGCCCTCTCTTTCGTGGTTACATCATGCATTGAAGAGATTTGGAAATTGAAAATTTCCACAAACTAGTATCAGAGATTTTGCGCCAGACCATACAATTGCCTCCTATCACTGCTGGTTCACTGAGGAGCGGTGAACGATGATTGCAAGTGGGGCCGGAGACGATGCTTGAAGCTTTATTTCACCAGTGCCTATGAACTAGTAGCGACAGACTTTTATAGCGACAGAATTCTGACAAGAAAAACATTTTTCCAATATTCAAGGCAATTTCGAGCTTCGAGGGAAAATATCACTTGACTCACCCGGGAATTAATCAGCTAAGGAATTTCGAGATGAAGAATGAATCCCCAAAAAGATGATTCAGAGAAACTTGAGTCAAGCAAGGCATTTCTATATTGATATTTGAGTAAGATTTCTGTAGCGATACAAAACGATACAGAAAGACTCCCAACAGCAGAAAACTCAGTGCGATTTGTCATGGTGTATTCTAGGACAAAATCGATGGAGAAGGCTAACCAGTAGTATAACAGGGATAAGAAAGAGAAGAAGTTCCCAAAGAGTGAAGAACGAGGTGATACCGTTCACAACTGACATGAATTTGTCTTTAGTCTTTTCAACAAGCTCATTCACGAAAGATATATCACTTGCTACGTTTCTCTGGATGTTTGATGTGCCGTTGTCCGGAGAGATAATCCTTTCGTTGACGAAAGCCAGAGATCCTTTGATCGTGAAGTTCACGGTCCCTCCAGGGCAGGCAGCGGTGCAATATGCGGTCACTGTTGGAGAGTCGAACATCAGGAAAATTGTGTTCAGGAAGCCAGCCTCTGTACATCTGATGACGTGTGAGTGTTGATCACATTTGACTTGAGCAAGCACTTCGTCGTTGTCGCTGGTGCACGATAGTGTTAATGAGGCGCCCGTAGTGCAACTGTAGCATCCGGATAGGTCGCTTGATTCCACTTGACAACGGCTGATGTGTTTCACTGACGTTATTCGGAGATTTTCTGCGACTATTTGAACTTTTATGGCAGAGCCGACATTTGTCCTTGCGTAGAACTTCTTGTTGGATTCGAAGATGATGAAGTTTTTCGATATTTGTGGAAGTGGTTGAGCAGCCATGCGATCACGTATATTTCCATTGCTGCAGGTACAGGTCGTACTATATACAGTAGTGGTGCAAGTGCATGTATTACGCGAGAAGTAGCAGTTGAATTGTTCCGCTGCGTGATATGAAGAGCACTGCAGTTGTCCTACAGAATGACTCTGTAATTGTCCTGCGTGAGCTGGATTGATATGGAGCGTTCGCCTTCTCATTTGAGTGACGAAGTAGATGCAGTATAGGAAGTTGTGGGACAATTGTTCCGATCAACGAGAAGTGGATATTGTTCCAAGTTGTTCGTGCGGCCTGGGAGAAGGTGTATTGTAGTAGCAGCAGTTGTTCCATCTTCTTGCTGTAGAGTAACTTCTGCGTCTACTTCAAGTTCCCAACTTGGGCATTGGAAGACGGTATAAATGGTCGATGATGTTGGAGTAGCGTAGAGCCGATGGAAGAGGCAGCTAGGTGTAGAGAAGAAACAGCCATCGCAAGACAAACCACCACAGCTGGAAGAACAAGATGTGTATCCTGGACTATCGTTGGCGACTTCGGAAAATTCCTTCAATTTGTCAGTTTCCTTGATTTCGTGGCATTGGTCTGCGTGACAGCTACCGGCGCGGTGACAGCGGTGGACTGATTCTGACACAATTTTGTGGTCACGAGTGTAAAATTCATCTTTCCTGTTGCATCGAAACTTGATTCCTTCTGGTTTGATTGTAAGCATTCCCATCGGAAGATTTTGTGGATCGTTGAGAGTGAGGCAAGTTTGCTGCTGCAAAGGTTGGAGCGTTATTACCGTCGCATGGTTGAAGGTGCAAGTTTCCTCGTCCTTTTTTATTGTGCAGACTTCTTCGCCTGTTGTCATGGCGACTGTTTCTGAGCATCCTTTTGTCGTACTTGAGTGAAAGAGAATGAGGATGGTGCAGGCCAGAAATGTTCGTTGTCGATTCCTTTTTCGTCGATTAGTATATCTCGGCAAGCGAGGTTGGCGATAGCGGTTAGGTGAAACGCGAATAATGGACAAGAGCTTTCGTAGCATGATCCATAGTATGCGGAAGATGAAGCGTAGTATTCGGAGAAGAATGTACACGGTTGGTGCTATGGTAAGGAGCAGACCGGCAGCGAAGAGCATCATGAGATAGTGCTTGTAATTCCAGCATTGAGGGTTGTAGAGTCTTTCCCAACAAATGTAGCATAGAAGGTCTCACAGATGGTATGAGCCTTGCAGGTAAGTTCGGATTCGCTGTACAGCTTGCCATTATTCCATATCTTGATGGATACGAGGTGGTCGTACATTATCAGCAAGTTTGGGAAGGATACTGTCTGGGAAGTAAAATTCCTCAGAAAAACGCAGTAATTGTGGATGCATAACTCTGCGCCTTCGATTACGTTGTCACTTCTTAAGAAGACTCCTCCAACTGTGCACCTTTGTTCAGTGAAATGGACACTGACGCGTTGTTGCTTTTCTTCTGCGTCGATTGCTCGGTATCCGAAAAACGACTTTGTCACCGTTCCCCATGCTTTGATTGGTAAGGTTGTTGATGATTCACTGTCGTTGATGACGAGCATCGCCAACGGATTGCCATATGAGCAGAACAGTCTAGCGTTCGGCGTGCACTTGTGTTTCGCACAGAAGCGTGAAGTTCCAGTGATCGATCGCCTGGGCAGTCGTTTCCATCCTTTTTTGTCGATACACGTGAAGTCTCTGTCGTCTATATATTCTTTGATTTGAATTGTCAATTGCTTTACCAGAAGAATGTTGTCGTCGAATAGTTGGATTTGATGAAAGTTTCCTATTTGCCGTTTTTGATCGCATTGTCGAGACTTTTCGAAAGAGAGCACTTGATATGTTTTGAAGTTGGCCGGAGACGATGCTTGGAAGCTTTATTTCACCAGTGCCTATGAACTAGTAGCGACAGACTTTTATAGCGACAGAATTCTGACAAGAAAAACATTTTTCCAATATTCAAGGCAATTTCGAGCTTCGAGGGAAAATATCACTTGACTCACCCGGGAATTAATCAGCTAAGGAATTTCGAGATGAAGAATGAATCCCCAAAAAGATGATTCAGAGAAACTTGAGTCAAGCAAGGCATTTCTATATTGATATTTGAGTAAGATTTCTGTAGCGATACAAAACGATACAGAAACGGCTTATATCAAGCGAATAGATCAAGCCAATCACTGGATCAAGAACATTCCAGTCAAGAACTGCAATCCAACATTTGTCCCTCACGCCAAGAAAGCCGAAACTCGCATCATATCAAACTTCCTCTTACCTCCTTCACAGTCCAATTTTTCTGGAAACCTGAAATTTATGAACTCACCCAGGGTTTCCACCGTTTGTGCGGGAATCCCGCTTCCGCACAAAAGCGCCAGTCAGTAAGAAATAAGGCACACCGTAATGTCTCCTGATTTGAGTAATCGCTGGGAGACGCACGTACGCTTTATTCTACAGCTCGCAGTGCGGTAAGTTGGGTGAGTTCAAAATTCGTTTTGCTTATGTTTCTCGGTGGGACTCCCGGCGGAAAGTCGGAACCGCTAGAGGAGATAAGGCGCTTGGTGGATTAGATCGTGAATTTCAACCTTGAACCGCGTTTAGGCCTCAGAAGACGACGATTTTGTCGAAACGTTAGGCCGATTGAATAAATGTTCCACCTATCAACCTCGAACGGCAGAAGAAACAAAAAGAAAAAGAATGCCGAGGTTACAAGAAGAGAGAAGCTGGAGACTAGTTCTATTATTCCATCAAAGAAAATGGGGAAGTACTACAATTATTTGAACGTAATCCGGCAAGGGACGGCCTTGTATTATACTTGATCCAGTAAGGAATCGCAATACACTGAGCAAGGGTTTGTACCCACAAACTTACAAATTGAAACAGCGATGGCATATATATTAGGATAATAATGAATATTACACTATGGCTTTTTGGCTGCTGATGCCACAAGACATAATAACGATATGAAAATGAAAATAGCAAACTCCATAATCGCGTGGGCGTACAATTGCATCACAAGAAGGCTGTATCTATAAAGGTTTAGTTCACTAATGACGAGTAAAGTGTTCTTTTGGCCACTCTACAAAAACTCACTCACCCGATAAAGCAAGACAGTGTACCCAGAAAATGTGCATGGTCCATAGGAAACAAAGAACATACCGAATCCACTAGCAATAATTCTGAAAATTATTGGGACGTACGGTACGAAACGCATGATGACTCTTTGCAGCGATCAGGAAGAATGAGGTGAGAAGGAAAGAAGTACGAAACGTAACATCCAGAGCAACGCCACTTCACTACTGTACAGCAGAGGACAGAAGAAACCATGAAGGATCACACCTTTGTTGTACGAAAAGAGCAGCAGCACATGCCACAAAATCGCAGATAGCAATATTGAGAATAAGAATCGAGTAGATCGATATCTGTTTTGGTGTTTTTCTCAGTACCAGGAAAGTCAGAATACCATTTGCGACCATTCCAAAAACGCTTTGAATTATATGTGTTGCAAAGAGTTTGTTCCATTGTTAGAATGGTATTCGAAGCATGGAGGTGGATTCAAATCTAGGAAATATGAGAGAACGTTTCACAAGATGCTGGGTTGTGAACAAAACTTTCGCCCCAGGCGGGACTAGAACCCGCACCTTCACTTTAAAGCGAGAGGTGCGGGTTCTAGTCCCGCCTGGGGCGAAAGTTTTGTTCACAACCCAGCATTCTTGTGAAACATTCGCAACGCGAACTGCGGCGTTAAAACAGCAGTTAACAAACAAAACAAGTAAAGCAATAGCGTTCTACAGCTTTTAGTGGAAAGTTCTCCTAGCAGGTAGAGGAACTACAGTATATTAGGCTGTAGGAAAACTTTTTGCGACATTTGGAATATTTCGAATAGATTGAGAAAAATGACGAGAATGGAACCTAGTTTAGGTACCATTAGGAGCGGCATACCTTCACAGTGTTAGCCTGTTGTTGATAAGCTGAGTTTTTTTTTGTACACGACATTTTCTAAGCGTTGAAGCACGTAACCGTGGAATTGTAGTGAAAGCTCAATTTGATAATCTAATTGAGTTCGTATTCCAGAAGTACGCAGTAAACCTCCTCATGGCAAATGTGTCTTACATTGGTACTTCAGAGTTTCAGCACATCGAAGAAAACTTGCCAAAACACTGTGTTGACACCTTCAGTTCAACTCTATAAAAACCCCAATATAACAAGTAAAACTGAAATTCAAATATACTGAGGAAAGAAGATAGAATATGCTTGCCAATGATATATAGGGCTTCAGGTCTCAAAGGAAGTTTCAGTATAAAAATATTCCAAGTATGCAAGTATTCCAAGTATGCAAGGCATCTCAAAACCCGCATTACTTTCCGAACAACCCAATAGTTATTTGCCCGCTACCGTAAGCTTGCCGAAGATGTTTACAATGAGTGTCAGAATGGAGATGCACATAATATTTCTACAAAATCCCATGATTCGTTATGCGAGATTTCAGAACGAAATCTCTAAAGTCAAAAAGTCCAACCAAATTGTATTCGTTAAACTGTCTGATCGGATAGGACAGGCGGATGGTGTTTATGTAGATTTCACATCACAACGGCCTCGCAGGGTCGTACGCGTGCATGGGGTACCCGACAGAAGGCCCGTTATGAGGCAAGAAGTGAGAGTTAGCCGACGACAATGGTTCATTCTACTTACTTTGATGCGAAATCACTACAGTACGCTCTGCGACTCGTCCACGGACGCTCACGCTCACCGGCAGGTAAACCCTTCGCCGTCCGACTTCATCCTTTTCCCACTCACACCTTACAATTAGTCACAATTCGCTTAACTCTACCTTCATATTCCCGCCTATTCTGAGCTATCCCCTTTCTTCATAACAGTACTGCGCGAAGAACATCGTCCTCTTCCAAAGTACATCATTTCGCAATGCTTGTCATAGGTTTTTTGAATCCTCCTCCCTTCCCCTCCCCCTACCCCCTTCTGTTTTAAGACAACACGTCAAACAATGAAAGCTAAATTTTCTCTGAAAGCAGTAGTTCTAGTCACAGAAGAGAACCGCTGGATACCTCCAATCAGGGTCAACCGTCACGTTGGATCAATATCGAAGATTTCACGACCCC